AATGAACTTTTCCAAATTTAAACTTCTAGGGGACTTCTGTAGAACAGAAAACCAGGGCATCGAATAGGAGATCCAAAGGAGGCTATTGTTAAATAGTATACAAAAGGAAGCCCTCCGGAAAAAATGCCTGAAGGGATCTTCTAAAAATCGAAACTTTTAAGAGTTGTTTTGTAGAAAAGAAGTATTTAGGGGTATTTTTACAGGATTTTTGATAATACAAAAATGTCCAGGGGTCAATTGTTGTAAACATTATGGTACCTTATGAAGGAAATGATATATAAAGGACTATCCTAAAGAAAGAAAAACTTATAGAGTATTCTTTATAACAAAAAAATCCAAGGATAGAATAGACAATTTTTGGAAGACTTCAGTAGAACAGCGAATCATGGAATTGTAAAGAGAAGAACTTTGGGGGACTTTTGTAGAATAAAATGCCTTAGGATCTTCTGTAGAATAGATCACTCCTATGGTCTTCTATACATGTCAACGGGACCTTAAGGAAGACTTACAGAGTCTTCTATAGATTAACAAACTTCCAACCCCAGAACATTAAGCGAACTTCTATTGAAAATAACAATTAAAAACAATTAATTACAATTAAGTTCGGCCCGACCGAACTTTTTATACCTTCCATCATGAGGATAACAATCAAAATATCTAAAATTAATGGGGGCTTCTAGGAGAAAATTCATGTTATGATAGGACCTTGAACATACCGAAACATATCTGGTAATTGGTAAACAAGTAAAAAAATGTTAGTCGGTGTTGCCAATAGATATATACTCCCAGCCTATGGTTTGCGGAGGTCTTCGGAATTACATACAGATTTTGTTATTAGCTTTATATAAAAAATATGTGTTTATCAAAGAGATTTCGGATTTAATGTTGGTACTAGAAGGAGTGGGTCTATTAAACTATATAATATATTAAACTATATAAAGATAATGGGATGTGCAATGTTTCGTTCATATCGGAATTTTGACCATTTATGGGGAGGTACCAGAAGGAGTGGACCAATGATTCCCATCATCAAACTTGATATATTCTTGGTGAAGATAATAGGTTGTGCAAAGTTTGGTTCAAATAGGACATTCTATTCGCCTTATATTGGATTTACTAATATTGAATATTTTGACCATTTGTGGGGTAGGTACCAGAACGAGTGGACCAATAGGTCCCATCTACGGACTTAATTTAGACTTCATAAAGATAATGGGTTGTGCAAACTTTGATTCACATCGGACATTCCATTCGCCTGATACCATTTGTGGGGGAGGTACTAGAAGGAGTGGACCCATGGGTCCCATTTTCCTACTTGATCTAGGCTTGGTAAAAATAATAGGTTGTACAAAGTTTCATTAACATCGGATAGTCCGTTTGCATGTTATTATAAAATTAATTGTTAGCACAATTTTGACAATTTTGTGGGGGAGGTACCAGAAAGATGGGTCGATATTCCCCATCTTCGAACTTAAACTAAGTTTGGAAGAAATATTAATATGTGCAAAGTTTGAATGAAATCGGTTGCTGACAGACATATGGACAACGGACGGACGGACATGTAACAAAGAAACAATATTTAGCTGAGGCACATTTTCACCGTATCAAAGTGTATTACGGAAATGTGCTATACAATAAAAACCCAAAATCTAAAATTACAGCCACATTTTTTTGTAAGACGTTTCCAAAATCCACAATATACCTTATACTGGGAGATACCGTTATATGGGGGCTAATCTGAAACTGGGGTCAATATTAATAATTTTTGGTACAGATATGTGTTATTCAATGAGAAACCAAAATACCAAATTACAGCCAATTTGGTTGAAAAACGTGTCGAAATGGCCAAAATACCGAATATTAAGGGGGTACCGTTATATGGAGGCTATACCAAAACGTCGACCGATATATCCCATTGTAATACCAAACAAAATCCTAGGAGTACTAGCAAAGTCTGTGCAAATTTCAGAGTTCTATCATAAATATTGCGATCTCTATCCATTTCCACAGACGGGCAGGCAGACAGTCATGCGTAAAACGACGCCGAAATTTATTTTCCGGTGAATATTTCGAGGTGTTTGCAAACGAAATGACAAATTTAGTTCACCATAAGGCTCTTCTTCAGATAAAACACATCATTGGTCTTTCGAAGAAAATAAGGTTTTAAGAGACCTGCTCAAGAAAGGGATTTTCTGTAGATGAAAAGAAGACATCTAGGCATCTTATAAAGAAAGGAGGACTTTAGAATAGAAAAAAAACTTCATAGACTCAAGAAAACATCAACTGAATAGAAAAAAACATAGTATAGAATATAAGACCTCAGGGGACTTCTGTAAAAAAGAATACATTAATTGAACCGGAGAATTTTTCATGCCACGGGACTTCTGAAGAAAAAATGTGCTCGAGGGTCTTCTCGAGGAAGGAAGGCTTTTATGGGTTTTCGGTGATATGAGGTTCATAAAAAAAGTCCAGGGGTATTTTGTAGAAAATACGACCTCAAGATATCTTTTATGAACAAAGTTTATATAAGGGTTCTTACATTGCAAGTAAATCGTAAAACAAAAGAAACAATTTCCAAGGCCCAAAGAAACCTAACGATAACTTCTTTAGATTAAAAAATTTCTAGAAAAGTTCTGCCCTTAGGCTGTTCTATTCTGCCTAAGGGGACTTCTGTTGAATAGAATACACAGGGAACTTCTGTTGAATAGAATACATAGGGAACATCTGTAGAATAGTTGACCACAAGGTCACTTTTATAGAATAAGACAACATCTTCCTAGGAAAAGGGTAAATTAAGGGGTCAAGAATTCAGGAAAATACCTTAAGGGGACTTCAATACAATAAAACACATCTACTGAAAAAGAACTGCCGTCAAGTGGTCTCTTTAAGATAGGAACATCAAAGGTATTTTCAGGCATTCTCAATGGTGTTCAGTATAATAGTAGAGGGGTCTTTCATAGAATAAAAGACATTTTAAGGGTCACTTATAAGAAATTTGTGAGTCAGAGGTTTAGAGGAAGATCTTTTATAAGATTTAATTTAAATCGGGTGTTCATTGGTCCGTTCGTTGCTATATGAAAATATATTGGTCCAGTTTTAGATTTACAACGTCTACGTTATAGTTCTTGAGGTAGATCCGTTCCTTGCAGATTTACTTATAACATATTTTTTTTTCAAAAATTTCAGCTGAATCTTGGACAGAAGTCGATGAAAATGGTGATGAATATGAATTGAAAAAATTTACGATACAGGGCCGCCAATTGGAGGGTGGCAAGTCCCAATGCGTTGTGACGAGACGTAAACGAGCTACAGTTGCTGTGATACCAGTCGAAGCAAGAGAACAACAAGATGATGATGACGAAGAAGAGGGTGATGACAATGAAAATATGGGTTATGCTGGTGCCTCAGCTTCACAGCAACATGCAGTCCTTTTCTATTCACCACAAAGTTCAGAAGAAAGCGAAGAGAACCAAGATAATTCTCAAGATGATGATGAAGATAATCGTGAATTTGAGAACTTGGACAGCAATGGTAATGCTATGGCCCATGTGGTGGTTAAGGCCGATACGGTTATTTTGGCCACAGATGCTAATGGAGATTCTACCTTCGAGAATGTAGAGAGCTCCAATGGTCAGGATGACAGCGATGATGATGAGGAAGGTGATGATAATGTCGTAGGAGCACAAGCAGCGGAAACTATTGAGTTGGTACATGTACCACAGGTCCCCATTATTGGTCAACTACAAAGTGAGGGTCAATCGTTGGCTGCCATTGCCGCCACTGCCCCTGCTACCATTCTCAATGAAACCGAAACCGATTCTGCCGTTATTGTTGAGTCAAATAAACCACCTAAGGTAAATCCCAATACTCATGCAGTTTTTGAATTGGTCCCCGTCAAACCAGGCGATGAGGAAGAGGATGAAGATGATGAGGAGACTGATGAAGACGAGCGCGATTCATTGAATGCTGCTGCCGATTCAATTCAAGTGGCTCAAATTGGTCACGTGGCAAATGGTGTTCACATTATTAATCTTGCCGAATTGGCGGCTGGTGTTGACGACGAAGATGATGGCGAATTCCAATACAATGAGGAATTGAGTCCCATAACCACCACAGCTATTTGGTCAACCGGTGCTGATGATGATATCTCTCACCTCTTGCCAGTCAAAAAACCCAGCAAGGTAAATAGTAATAAGATAAATAAGAATAAGAAGAACAAAAAGAAGACCAACAAGAATCAGGTGGGCAATAGACGACCAATTCGCCGTAACAAATATAAGAATCAAAATCAGCTCTCCCAAGTCAATGGCAATAAGAGAAGGCCATTGAGGAGACCAAATCGTGGTGAGCTGAGTATAAGGGGAAACAAGAAGGATACGAAAAAGAAAACCAGCGTGAAGAGAACTGGAACCAAGAAAACTACAAAGACAAAGAAAAAGAAGGCCTCAAACAAGAGGAAGACTTCTCTCAGGAAGAAAAATAAGAAGAAGACAACCAACAAAAAGAAGACCAGCTCCAAAAAGAAGAACAAAAGCAAAAACAAAAAGAAGAACAAGAATAAGAAATCCAAGAGCAAAAACAAGAAGAAGAATAAGAACAAGAAATCCAAAAATAAGAAAACTGGTGTGAAGGGCTCCAACAAGAACAAGAAGACTAAAAAGACACCCGTTGTCCATTCGCCCACATCACCCACCTCTTATACTACACCCACTAGTGCCACAACACCCACACAATTGTCGATGAAAGGTGACAAACAGAAGAAGAACAAGAAAAAGAATACCAATCGCAGAAACAGACGGAAAAATAAACGCAATTCTCAACGACAATTTAACAACAACGGCGACAAAATAATGGGTGATGCCGATGAGGACATCTACAGTCAGACAGTAACCGAAACCGAAGAACCCGAGAGCGGTAATGTTAACTGCATTTATATACGCAAAGATCCACCAACAACAACGACGACAACACCACGTCCCTTCTGGAATTTGTTAGGACGCAGTGCTGGCAATGATGTGCCCGTTGCGTCGGGACGTTATGGCTTGCGTAAGCGTGTCAACTTACGTCCTCTAGCTTAAGCTTAGTATTATTGAAATGTATTAGACGAAAAAAGAAATCGACGAAAACAAAAGTATAAATGTATAAGAATTATTTATAAAAAAATTAACAGTTTTTTTATTTCAGAGGGTATATTAGTCCTGATTTACGTTATGCAGTTTTATAGTACGTTTACATTGGACAGGATTTTATTAACCCAGTAGATTTAAATTGTCAATTCCATTGCATATATGTCAAATAAATCCTCATAAAGTAGGTTAACCCGGGGAAAAAGTAGGGGAGATGGGGCACCTTTCAACGTGGGTCCCCTTTCTTGGACAGTTTTGAACATATTGGCTTCGTCCATTAAAACGGTAATAAAATATTTGAAGGCCACGTCATTTTGTAGATTTTACCCGCATTTTACGAGCATAGCGGCTGTAATTTGAGATTCGGGATCCTTGCAGAAAATTGTCAATATAGATTTATGTTTTGACTTAGCCCCTGTATAAAGATCCGTCATATTTTTATAGGGTATAAAAAAAACTAACGTTGATCGAGGCTGTACCTTAAGGGTGACAGATATTAATATTTTTGGTAGGGAGATTTGCTACCCAAAGAGTAATTCAAATAATTAAAATACCGAAGATTGAGGGTAGCGTTATATGGGGATTTTCTTATACATTCTACCTATACAACCCATTTTAGAATTTGTCCCCATATTACTGCGGATCATAGCTTTGAAGGCCTTGTTTCTACATTTTTTATTTTATTCAAATAACAGTGAATTTTGCAAACTACTTCAACCCAGTTTGTGTTCTCCATATGCTCGAAAAGTTCGGTGTGCACGGCCTGTTCGGGATCAGTATTCTAATATTACTATGTGGAAATGGCGTATCGTAGTAATCTGCAACTAACGGAATGTATGTTGATTTTGTCGATACAAGCCTTTAAATTCCTTTTTTGAACGATAGAAGCCTTTAAATTCCTTTCGGGAAGATTGAAACCTTTAAAGACGTTTAATCGATGATATAAGCTTTTAAATACATTTTTTAAATGATAGAATCATTAAAAGTCCTATTTTCGACGATAGAAACCTTTAAGTACCTTTTTCGGACGAAAGAAGCCCTTAATGGCATTTTTTGACAATAGATACCTTCAAATGCATTTTTAGACAATGTCAGCCTATAATGTCCATTTTTGATCATAATCCTTTTTAAGACTTTTTAGACGATAGAAACCTTAAAAGGCCTTTTTGGGACGTTAGAAGCCTTTGAAGGCCTTTTTGGGTCATTTTTGAATGATAGAAACGTTTATGCTTCCCATCGATGTTAGGAGTACCTACTAGCGTCAGAGGTAAAATCAGCCTGTCCGATCCACTTATCTCGCTTATTTGAATTTGATCACTTACCTGAAATCAAAATCTCAATCAATTTGGTATGAATGTTATAAACAAAATGACGGACTTATGATTCTTTTACAAAATCATCTTTTCAGCCATATACAACGTTAAACCAGTAAGGAAAGTAGTAAAGTCGGACGGGGCCGACTATATGATACCCTTTAGCTATATTCAACAAATGTTATCCTAACAGACGTCGCATTTTTGTAGGACCATTAACATGAAATTCAACATATACTCAAATTTTCATTTAGTCAGATATAGAGTTGCTTCTTACAACGGGACAACATTATGTAAATCAATTTAAGGGAACCCCCCATTCTCGATTTAAATTTTCAAGATTTTCAATGGGCTGGTAAATCAATACCAATGCTTGTTAAGGCTTGTAACTTTGCACATATATATTTGAAGATTAAAAAAAAGAAAAATAATTTACAAAAAAATGTTGTTATTGTTTTGTTGTTGTTTTTTGTAATTAAAGAAAAGTCCTTATTTTTGATGGCGGGCATGATAACTCCTTACTAGAACATCGGAATCCGAAAATTCCAACGGTGTTAGAAAGAGTAAATGTCTGGCTCTCGTATGAACTGTTGACTTCGCTCTAAAATTAACAAAATGGCGGACCTTTGAAAAAATATTTTTGGAAATTCGCAGATTTTTGACCAAAAACCAAGTTAGAAAATAAGGAAGATCTTCACCGATTGGCTTTATCCTAGTTCATACGATAGCTATAAACTCACAGAGAAACGTGTAAAAATTTGGATCGATTTGGTTATTAGTTTTTGAGTTATCGTCCCCGTCATTCGCAAAACAATGTTTAGAGAAAAACGCGTTTAAATTTTAAGAAGCCCTTCAGCCGTCACTTAATGCTGACACAATAAATCGCCTATATCTTCAAGAGTTCTTGAGATTTTCACTTGAAATTTTGAAGGGACATTCTTGAATTAGTGTAGATTCGAATTAAAAAAAAAATATTTTTTTGACCCCGAGAATGGGGGGTCCCCTTAAAGCAAAATATCGAAATCTAAACCGATTTCATAGAAACTTGTCACAGGTTAGGTTATACTAATTTCAGTATGTTTTGTGTATATCTGCCAAATTTTGAGTTCTTGATGCATCATTTACTTAAAATCGGGAGAACATTTATTGGAGCTACATCTACATCTGAACCGAGTTAACAAATATTGTCACACTTTATATTATAGTAACTTCAGTAGGGAAGACTGGGTCACCTTCGGTACTTTTTGTTTAGAGCTCTATATCTCAGTACTTATTCAACATATATAAAAACTTTATGGCTGATTATTGTCCTCTAACACTTAATGATAAAAACTAGTAACAAAAAGGTATAAAAACTCAACACACATCATTCTAGACCTATTTTATTACGCTATGCCAAATTTCGTGCAAATCGAAAGATATATAAGGACTTTGTTACACTTTGGTAAACCATGTACGTTAAATCGGACAAAAATATATATGAGAGCTATATCTAAATCTGAGCCGATTTTCACGAAACTTAACACATCATTCTAGACTTAATTCAGTGCGCTGTGCCAAATTTCGTGCAAATCGAAAGATATATAGAGACATTGTACACGATTTACATTAAATCGGACAAAAATTAAATCGGATAAAAATATGAACTGATTTTCGGGAAACTCAAAACACTGATTTTTTCTCAATTTCAATAGGGTTCGTCCGTGGGCCAAATAAGTGACCTATGCCAAATTTCATCCAATTCGGATCATAAATGCGAACTGTCCTTTTTTTTCAATTTAACATGGCCAGACAGACGGACGGACGGACATGCATAAATCGACTTAGAAAGTGATTCTATGCATATTCTCAAAAGGAACCATGTGTCTATTTCGTTTCCTGTTACAAACATATGCACAAAGATATAATACCCTGCACCACAGTGTGGTGCACCGACTATTTGTTGGCTATATCCTAACAGGTCTGTTGGCTATATCCTAACAGACCTCGCATTTCTGAAGACATTAAATTGGAATAAATTTTATATGTGATCTGTATCTAATGTGAACAGATCCGGTTATTGATTGTAAGGTTACTACTGTTGGCTCTTTGGTGCACCAATTGCTAAAAATTTGACGAAAATATATATAGGAGCTATATCTAAATCAGAACCGATTTCAATAAAACTTGGCACACTTTGGGCTATCCTAACTTCAGTACGTTGTGCAAAATTTCGTGCCTATCGTCCTAAAGTTGGCTTTTTGCTGCATCATTTGCTAAAAATCGGACGAAAATATATATAGGAGCTATATCTAAATCTCAATCGATTTTCATCAATTTCAATAGGGTTCATCGTTGGGGCAAATAAATGATTTGTGCCAAATTTCATCTCATTAGGATAATAAGTGCGACCTGCACTTTGTTTACAATTTGATATGAACATACAGACGGACCTGCATAAGTGACCCCAGGCCTATATAGAGACCAAAGACCAATTGGTCTGTATAGAGGCCGCAGGCCTTTATAATAACCAATTGGTATGTAAACAGCCCGATTGGAAATGTATAGATAATACAGGTCTGATGATAAACCATAGTGCTATATATAGACCAATTGGTTTCTATACAGGCCTGTGGTTACTCTATAGACCTCTGGTAGAGAAAATTGGGTTTTATAAATAACAGTTGGTCACCAAATGGTCCTTTTACACCTCTATGCTCTCAAATCATTGGTATATAAAACTTGTATTTATAAACTTCTTTTTTTACTATACATACTAATTAGTTTTATACAGAACCGAAGTACTACTATGGTCTCTTAGCAGACCTGTGGTATTTATACGCTTCTAAATGCACATGCCGTTCTGCTGCAATTGGGAATTGTTATTACGTTATACGTTTTTAGCCATTATTTTGCAAGAATGCGGAATTTCATAGACTTTTATTACATACAAATTAAAAAATACATGGCTATTTGCTTTAGACGACGTTTTAGAATAAATAAAGACTTGGGAAATTTTGAACTACATAATTTATTCGTATTTATAATAAGAGCGCCATCTATTGTAAACTAAATACAACAAGCATCAACTAATTAGAATTATGAGATGAAAACATAATTTCACAACATAGTGCGCTAATGCAACACGAGATGGCGCCCAAACAGGAATTCACAAAAATTCCAAATGAGGAAATGCCAGCTGCATGTATTTTAAAAACTACCTACTACCACCTCAAAGAGGACGAAAATCATTAAAGAAAACATACAGATCCTTAAAGTCGTCAAACTGATCGACTTAATATTTGACCACATTTCAACCCCCTTCACAAACATAATTCCTCCACCCATACTTGTGGTTCAGAAATATAGCAAGTTGTAATGTTCGGTGGGATAATTAAAATTAATATCTACCATATTTCCTTCTTTCACTTCGTTTCCAAAGCGTAGATTGGGCACGTGTTCAAATTACGTTTCGAGCTAATAATTAAGGATTGCCATACTTCTAACCACCTTCGCTACACAAAAAGATCCTTTTTTTTAAGAAAACATAAGTTACCTTATGACAGTTCTTGCAGGAATTTTCCTACTTATTTCGTGCATTGACTTCATGCAAGGTTGACAACCTAAAGATACACCTTCTTCCTTTTGCGGTCACCGCCG